GGTTTTTACGGCGGTGAGTCCGAAGATGGCTGACTTCTGGGTTGTCGTAGTCTGGTGGAAGTTTACCGACGTTTCGGAGGTGGTTACTGCCGATCGCCCGGATGGAGGCAGCAAGGACTTCTGAAACGTCGGTAAACTTCTGCCAAACTACACGGTGCAAGGACCCAGAAGGTGGCCATCTTCTGACTGTCCTCCGTGGAAACCTCAAATCCTACTTAAATTGTTATAATTTGTATTTCAGGGCCAAAAGAATTTTTCTACCGTGGACACAATTACTTCTTCAGTGGTAATCACCCTCAGTATCGCAACTCGCGACTTGATTGGTTGGACGCACGGAACATCTGTAGGGAATATTGTATGGATCTCGTGTCCATGGAGGGCCAGGAGGAGAATAACATTGTGTTCAGGCTGATCCAGCAAGGTGAGTCAAATCATGGCAATGAGCACGCTCAGTCATTGGTCTGTTGTTTTGATATTGGGTTTGGAGACTTTTGATTCCAGGCTCGTGCGCTGACCACCGGAAGCTAATAAAATCTACGTGGGCTACCATCTCAGAAGGTTTTGCCAGTGTTAGTCGCCTTGAAAACTTACGATCGGACATCTACTGATGTTAGCTCCGCCCAACTGTACACAAATTCTTATTGAATATCTTCATATCTAGAGACCATCTCCTCCTGTAGACTTTATGGTGTGCCTAATGCCGATTTATCGGAGTTTGCTTGCAAGTATTTGAGATACAGCACGACAAGCTATTATTTATTTTAAGTAAATTTCTGTTTTTCTTATAATAATTAGACATTTTTAGTAAAAAGAGCACAAGTCTCAATAAGTAATGTGAGCATTTGCAGACATATTTTCGTACTGGACCCGAATTTTAATTCAGAATGAAATTAGGGTAAGTATCAGTTTTAAAGTTTATCATAAGCGTCATAGAAACGAGTAGTTAAGATGAGCAGGGTTTATCTCTTCATCACGACATCGAGATTGGCCGTGGGGGCCACACCCAGCCAACTCCTCACCTCCATCCAGTACCAAGGTTAAGAATGCAAATATCTTACGTCTTTGTGGTGTGGTGCTTTATGAAACATGGGGACAGATTTACCTCCTGAGAAACAAACCCAGCATGCAGCTGGTAATGCCCAGTGTCTTCAGATACGTCTGTCAGCCTCCTGGCTCCTTCTTCTATGGCTCTCCTCAATTCTCCTCTCCCATTCGGTCCGTCTGTCCGAGGCTTTGATCGAGGTTTCGAAACATCTTCCTTTTTATGGTACAAGGTTGTTAGCCTTGCGACCAACCCCCAACCTTGAGGACCAGGGTACCTCTTCCCCTCGACCAATCTGGCTACGGAGGCCCTGCCAGTAGCTCTTGGGGTCACTGAGGTACTCGGCCCCACCACCACGACAAGGCGCAGGTACGATTAATTGGGGAGGGCTATTGAAGTTACATGACTGAATTCTCGGTTGTCAGGCGACGTACCGTACATCTGGACTAGCGGACGCCTGTGTGATTTCAAGGGTTGTGAAAATCGTCGCGACCTTGAACCCAAGAGCGTCTATGGATGGTTCTGGTCGGCTACCCGTCAGAAGATGGCCCCTACGAACCAGGTGCCCAATGGTTTTGGTTTCAACCCCTGGAGTCAGACCGGACACAAGAAGGTCCAGCAGCCTGACAACGCCGAGTTTGACATCAACGGCACGAACGAGTCCTGCCTTGCAGTACTCAACAACGTGTACGGCGATGGCATTGCCTGGCACGACGTCGCCTGCTACCACGAGAAACCCTTCATCTGCGAGGACAACGACGAGCTTCTAAACTATGTCGCGTCCACCAACAGAGGCGTCCGACTCTAACTTCATTACGTGCTCTATTTATTATATTTCGTTTCGTTACAGTCAGTAAAGTTTAATATCTGTTCTCGAAAATTTCCCATTTTTTCTTTTTGTATAATTTAACACTGCCAGGCTTTTAGGAAATTAAAGGTGAAATTTGATATTTTTAATAAATCAGATGTATTAGTCTTCTTCAGGAAGTTTTCAAGTATGACTGTGGAATTTAGAAAATGTATTATATTCATTACAGTCACAAATCGTCTTTTATTTTAATACAGGGGGGAAAAATTCAGTTGCAGCCTTTAAAGTTTAAGACTTTTTGTTTTATGACAGACTGTAAATGTTACGTTTTACTTCAGTAATTCACCAGTTCCAGGCTGAAAGGTTTGTAGGTCCCGGTGCTTTCGGGAAAATAAATCTGGAAAGTCCTCTTAAATCATGTATATTGATATTTTTTTAAAAAAATAAAAACTTATGTAATTATGTCCCTGCAAGTTTTGACACGAATTTAAATCTGAAGAGCTAATTTTTTGCTAAATTATAGTTAATATGAAATATAAGCCAGCGATGATTTTTTAGTTATAATATTTGGACTTCGCCCCGGCACCAAATTCTGGATCTTATATATCAAAATTAATTAATTGCTCTACGGTAAAGTGGTAAACGCTGTGCACTGTGTTCAGCACTGGAGTGGACGAAGCTGGCTGTCATCATGTGCAGAAACTCGCTCTCCCGTCCAAAGCTGTGACTAGACTGGAAAATGTTCTTATTTTGAGCGCTGAGACTCTGGAAACTTTGGTCATGATCGTCTTTCGTAATGAAAATCTGAGAATGTTCTGATTTTTTTTTATATTTCTTATAAACAATATTAATGTGTGGTTTTTCATACTGCGAATGTTTTTAAACTATTAACATTTTTAATTGTACTGATTGTGTGCGTGAGCGGTCAATTGCGCTCGCCATAACTCGACTGGGCTGTTTTAGATAAACTCTGGAACATGATGCAATACAAATGTTGCAAAATTCTATATACGCGCATAACAAATTGCCTTTCATCATTGTTTATGACAAGGCAGACAACCACTGAACGGATTTCTGCAATAAAAAGTTTTGTGTTTTTTATTGTTTTATTTATTACGAAAATGTCTCATGTCCTTTTTATTCTTACACAGGTACTACATACATAAATCGTATTCTGTCGTTCTGTTGTGTTTTGTCGAAATTCTCATATTTCTTTTTTTAAAAAAATATTGTCATTTGTGAATTTAAACGTGTTCCTTACACAATTTCCTATAAAACACGTGTTGCAAAAAAAAATAGCTGTTTCGCAGAACACGAATGTTGGCAAACGTGTTTATGGATTCCGAACGCGTTCTCATCTTTTAAATGAAAAGTATAACCAGAAAAAGAAACAAAGTGCTCATGAAAATATTTGGACCTAATTTGGAAGAAATGAGTAGTTTAAAACAGTGCATAATGAATAAATTACAGGTTATCTACTGTTGAGGATCTGGTGATATTTAGATAAGCGACGCACGCATCTAGAAATACGTACGGGCGTACATCGGTGTCTTGTGGATAGGACGCAATTGCCAAAGTTTACACCAGCCTACAAATTCTCTTTCTAAGATGCCTTCAAAGTTTGTTTTCGATCATTCCGTTGCGTGGTGTCAGACTTACTAACCGGGGCTTCGACTTTAAACAGCAGGTCTTCTGTGACGCCAGTGACGAGGGGCATCCCTGAGGAACAGAAGGAAATGCCTCTTTTAGGAGAGTAAGTTTGGATGGCCCTGCCCCTTGTGAGAGCCTCGAGTGGATGGAAGTGAAAGTGTGTATGTGTACAGTACTCGCTAAAAAAGCTTGTCCGTTGAAGGTGCGCAGAACTTTATACTGCGCAATGTCTGGGCAGGGGAGGTGGAGGGGTACAACGACAGTTGGTCGTATACTGACCCCCCCTCCCGCCCGTCCCTCATCGACACTACGACCGGTGGGCATTGAAACCAGACTTAATGCACATCCAAGGCCACTGGCCAGCTTCTATGGCTTCTGATCTATTATTGTTTTAACTGTTTGATTTCTGGAGTCAGTATGAAACCAGAATCACGTCGAAACGTTGTTTGAAACAATTTGTTTATGTGGGACAGCAAAATTAATACAGTACGAAAGAACGGTTTAATTAAAAAGGAAATATCCCACAGAAAACGCAAGAACAAGGCATCAGGGATTTTTGCGTTGAATGAAGCGATGAGCAGTTCACCACAAAAATTCTATTGTCTTTGTGAGTTTAGAGCTTGTCGTCGTGTTTTAACTGATTGTTTCAGCAAGCTGTTGGAGGAAAAACAACATAGCATCAACAGTACGAAAATGGCTTAAAAGTTAATTTTAAATTTGTGGCCACAAAATCTTTATTTCGCTAACAGACCGTGCCGAAACATTGTAAAAAAAATGGCTACCTTTATCGAGCACGCAAGATGTAAATTCAAGGTCGTTCAATTATTACGAAAGCAACTGAGGGGAGGGGAAGACAGTTCAGTTAATACTGGTCTTTGGGACGGAATTTAAAAAATGTGGAAAATTCTTACGTAATATATCAATGACACCTTAAACGCAAATAAAATGTTATTAATTTAAATATCCTCATGATTTCCCTCGTTCTTAAAGATGTTTGCAACCCTTGTTGATGTGTCGTATGTTGGTCCGGACTCCGCAAGAAACCGGGTGTTGATAGGACAGTACTGCACAGAGAACTCGATCAATGAATGAATATTTTCACTATCAGATAAGATACTATTACCAACTTGCCTTCTAGCGTCGTTTATACTACGCCGTACCATTCAACAAGAGAAATGAATGACGGTTTGAGAGAAAGTTCTAAAACAAATATTTGTTGAATGGTACGTGTAGAAACTGCATCAACAAATATCATTTTAGTCGAGTCGACTGTATTTGGAATGAAACTTACTTAACATAACGTCCCGGAACTTTGTTTCGTTCGACCATCGATGTTATCAGAACGAATTTTTCCGTGATTTTCTTCGGTTGACCCCAAACGTGCTGGAGTATTCACGGTGACTGCATACAACCAAGTCTTTTTTTTTTCTCGACTCGAAGATAGACGAACTTTTGGGATCGCATTATTTTGAACACTTCCAAAAAAAAAAAACTCAAGTGTTATTAGACGCTAGGGAGGAATTTGATAGTAAACCAAGAAGGTTTGGACCTTGTATGTCGTCTTCTTTGGTATACTTGACTTTATTTTTAACTTTGTACGCAGTTGTGTATCGTAAAACCTTTGGCCTTTGTTGACATGATTAATAATTTACCGCATACATAATTAGTTCCTTATTGATAACAGTAACACATCGTTTATTGTCTTAAGACATGACACTGCCCCTGTAATATACTAATTCCCACCATGTGTGACACAGATTCTTCTCGGTTTATGGTGTATATTCACTGGGTTTTTGCTATTTATGTTTCAGTTGTGTACCCGTCATGTTGTTAAGATGGGCTTCTATTAGATTAAACTTTCTTGTAAGAGCAAGATTTATTAAGTACTTACCTAGAAGAAAGGTTGGAAGTATGATACAAACGAGAACCCATTATTCCACGTTATTGATATCAATATAATGAAATAGATGGCAGCACCAATACTAAAAAAAAGAACACGATAGATGAACTATCTACGACGTATTTTGTGGAGAGAATACTAGTAAAAATATTTAGAAGGCTGTGGGTAAAAACAGATGAAGCAGTTAAAGCTGCTGAATTTAAAAAAAAACAGTTGCAGTAATCAAAAACAATTCTAGAATGTGAATAAATACATAAAATAAACGCGAAGAGTTAAAAACAAATTGGATGTAATTATTGACTGAAGAAAGTAACTTCAATGAGAATCGGTAGAAAAAGTTGGTCTACATAACATAAAATATAGATATCATTACATTTGAAACTGTTGTCTGCGAGGTTAAAATTGAACGAAATGCAAGGCGAACAGGTTTCTTACTGCAAAATTATTTCTATTAGAAACAGCTTCGAAACAGTAAACTTGTATATCTTTTCATACATACATCAAGACCTATTACTTACACGCGTAGTAACTTGTTTACTCCACTGCAGAGTTTACCTTACCTGTAGCATTTCCTTTATTTCTGTGCATGCACACAAGCTGTGATGAAGAATTTCGAATGATATTTTGCGCTTTGCTTGTGAGATATTTTATTAAATAAAACACATTTTAATATGCTTTAATCTGGACAAGCAGCTACCAGAAAGATAACTGTGAAGGCCGTGACATGACTGCGCCTGCGCCAAATTTTCGTTCTTTGAGTGTCATATGTTTTAATAAGGGAGTTATCGTTTGTGGTTGTATGGAAAGACTGAAATATGAACTTGAGAAATGATGACTCTTAATAGTTAAAGTAATAAAACTAAAACGACAGATAGAAATTTATTTAAGGTATAGAGCAATTCATATTTAAAGCCATAGACATTGTAACAGACATGTTAATACAAGCTACGAATGTTTTGGGGGTTTGCCAGCTGTTTTTGTGTGGTTAAGCTTGTCAAAACATCAAGGTCTACCAGTTCTTAATCGAAAAACGTAATAGACTGAGAATATTTTCGATGCACATACCATTTCAATGTTAATCGTAGAATATGACAAGTTTAATCTTGCGTCTTCATCGTCAAAATGTAAGTTCAAATACGGATTGCCAAGGTAAGGTCCAACGCAAATTTTGTTTGATGGACACCTTACTTTCTCATGTTTAAAACGTGTTGGCTACGGTCTGGTACAGATTCTGCATCTTATAGTTTTGTCATATCTTATACGTAATGTAGATCACGTTTAAGAATTTGTGGTATTATAAATTGCGTTCTAATAATAGAACATGATCCATGTAACTCTTGTAGCAGATTGTGGTGAACAAAGAGATCTGCAATAAGAAACCGTTGTTTTGTTTCTTTATCATAAATGCAAAATTAACATTTTAGTGCAATGTCGTTTCCACAAATAATGCTTGTAAGACGATGGATGGAGGTATGCAGTGAGCGAGATTCACAGCACCAGAAACTCACCAGAGGTCCTTAACTGAACTGTAGTTCAAACAAAGCTTATCCTAACCTAAAGGTATTAAATATACTGTTGTTCAGTTAGCAGCTGCTGTTTTATGGCGTGGCATTATCCTTGATATCTAATTCTGTCATTCAGAATTAAACAAAATTCGAGACTTTAGCTTTGTATTTTCTGTGAAAACAACGTTGAAACAAAAATATCAATCCACTAAGAGCAAAATAAGCGATAATGTCTAACCTATCTATTTATTGGATTAGTCAGAAAAAGTTCAGGGTACAGTGATACTAAATACTCTGCACCTTAGAAAGAGACAAATGCAGTTAGTTTTCTGTGGGCACTGCCTCAGGCAGAAGAGTCAGCCACTAATCCCATCAAGTTTTCCATAAGCTAGCTCAACCTAAAGGTAATAATATTCTGCTAATTTAGCAAATACTGTTTTGTGATCTGTCAGCACTGTGCCTACATATATTTTAATCAACCGTGTTATTTCATGGCTGTGCTCTATATCTAATGAAAAATGATAACATTCTGGTTATTTTATCCTCGCTCAGTTTTCTGATTTTATGTTTCTCATTCTCTTCATGCATTTTGTAGTTCCTTTACACGTTACTTAAGTGAAAGTAGTTTTTGTTAGGGCTTAGTAACTTTAAATAAGAACCAAATTCATGAGCTTTCACAAAAACAAAATGCACTTTGAGTCTTCTCACACAATAAGCCTTGTGAGAATGGTGTCCTAATCCAACATTTGAGAGACAGTCTTTGATATGTTAGATTACAATTCCAATCTCATGTGGTCTGTTGCCTGAGGAGACTTAATTGTAAGTTCAATTACAGTTTAGGGAAATTGGATGGTTTAGAATAGTTTATAGGACAGTTAACTAAATAGACTTCAAATTCTGTGATAAATGTGTGACTGCTACTTTGTGAATTTGTTCCATTCTGCTTTTAAACCTATGCAATAGAAACTACTTTGCAGGTGACAAAAGGGAAAAACATGCTTGATTTTTGTAAAACCAGACCATAAAATTTAGACATTACTTTTTTAATGTGGAAATATTTCTTTGGAAGTAAAGACAGATCATGAAGCCCTCCACCTCCAGTTAAGATTGAACTTGAAAATGTGTGGCATCGCTATGGTATGGCCTGGGTTGGTGCAGAGAGACCAAGAAAGAAGACTTACTTTTCTTAAGATTGCTGTCTTCTGGGCTGTAGCGCAGTGTAGTCTGATAGAACCCTGAAGAGAGCCATCTTCTAACTATTCTTGTTTAACAAAATATTTTAGTGCGACAGAATGGTTTATAAAATGATTTAGTAGGCATATAATTTTGTTGAGGAATCTTGTTAATTTTTATTTTCTTACAGATACAAAACCAGAATGCGTAAGGATTTTCTTGTGGATCAGTAATAATTACAGTCTGCAAAGATGGATATGATGTTTGAAGCTTATTTGACCCAGGAAGCAGGACACTTGGATCCAGATGATATTCCACATACAAAAGATCCTGTTTGGGTACTGGGAAAGAAGTACAATGCCATTCGTGGTGAGTAAAATTTTGCGGTTTTCTTAAGATTGCTGTAACTTAACCTAACCTAACCTAACTTAACCTATTTTTAAAGCGATGTGTCCCGATAACCCACAAGTACCTAAAATTGTAAGTTGTGTGTGATTTTATGTGACAGTATCATTTATCATCAGTTTATGATTTTCCAGATTTGGAAACTATCCGTAAGGATATTCGCTCCAAGTTATGGTTCACGTATCGCCGTGGTTTTGTACAAATTGGAGATACGGGGCTTACGTCGGACAAAGGCTGGGGATGCATGCTTCGCTGTGGACAAATGGTTCTTGCTCAGGCATTAGTGTGTCTACATCTCGGTAGGTGAAGTTAATATTTGTGTGCATGGTTGCGTGTCTTTTTTTACGTCCTCCTTCCACGTGTGACGATGTTTAGTAATAAATTAGCTTTCTTTAACATGAGTACAATGGTTAAACCTGAAGATGGCAGCATGTACCGAAACATGCAGTTTGATGAAACGAAAGTTATGTGAACAGGGTGTGTGAAAAGACAGTTAAACAAACAAAAAGTATTTATATAATTTTTTCTATAGCTCAGGGAGCAGTGAGAAGATTATTTTTTGATGCGATAGACTTAAAATAAAGAGATTTTGAATTTGCTTCATGCATGCAGATAGTCGAGTTTAAGCCATGCACTAATCTGAGAAATCAAAGATGCGTGCATAATTTTCTTTACACATTTATATGAATTAGGTCGAGACTGGTGCTGGACTCCAGATTCAAGGAATAAGTCATATCTTCAGACTCTGCACATGTTTGAAGATCGCCGCGCTGCGACGTATTCGATCCATCAGATAGCATTGATGGGTGCGTCTGAAGGGAAAGAAGTGGGGCAGTGGTTTGGACCGAATACTGTCGCCCAGGTGTTAAAGTAAGCGTATTACGTCACTCTTCTCGTGATGCGAATAATGTGGCAGATCCCTCTTACGAAACTTTTGAATGGACCATGCGATATCAATTTCGAAGCAGGAGATCATCTTAGAAGTGTAGACATCAGAATATTTAAAAAAATTAGCTTTATCTTCTGAACAGTAATCTAAATTACTTGGAAAACTGGGGAAAACTTTTAAAAAATGTGATAATCCCCCTTAATACTTTTAATTCTTGGTCTTAAAGCATATGGGCTTATAAGCGAGATCAGTTGTGACATATTTGTGCAGGCTCATGCAAAGTTGATTAGTTAGCGGAACCATTTTCCACATTTTGTGGACAGTAGAAGAGTCACGAGAAAGTGTTTATGAACAAATAAAATATATTTGTGTTGTACATCTGTTCATCGAAGGCAAATACTTGAATTTTTCAAATGTTTATTTAAGGAGGCGTCATAAATTCTTCTCAGAATACATTTTTTTTCCTCGACTCAGTCCCAGTTAGGAGTCTTCTACCCTGAAAATGGATGTGGTATGTTTGTCCAAAACATTGGTAACCCAAGACTTCATGATTTTATAACCTAGAAGACCGTAGTCCAAATGTTTACCGTCATGAAAACTTCAAATCTTGTATTAATTCAGCTCATCATTTCAGGAAACTGGCAGTGTATGACGAGTGGAGTTCAGTTGTGATCCACATAGCACTTGACAACACTGTCATTGTAAATGAAATAAGTAAGTCATTTATATATTTTGTAACTCAGTACGAGTTAAAACTGTAGATCGTACATCTATTATGAATACCTATCACAAAATGGTGATTATCATTATTTCAGGAATGGAAATTATGGTTGTTTGCTTGCCTACATTTTAAAACTGTGGCATCATTATTGAAATATATGTTATTTATTAAGTATTTAATTTGATTAATAAAGGCCCCATTCCTTTCCAGTTTCCGATACGTTATCGTCCTGTCATATCATTTAACTCTAAATAAAATCTGTAGTTGAATATTATTGACGAAGTAAATTACACATTTTGTACCCACAATTTGGCCTAAAAATATGTTTTGGTATTTCATCTCTTGAAATGCAAAGATAAATGAAGCAAATTCTTGCGTTAAAAGAATGTACTTGGTTAATAATTAGGACCTAAAATGTTACTTTTTCACATTTTGAGCCTGAGTTAAGTGGGGATACTGAATCGCAGGGATCACAGGGTGTTGTAAATGTTGTTGTAAACCTCCGTTTGTTACTAGAGCAACTTTGCAAATCGCCAAGTGCACATCATAATCCCAACAGCAGCTTGCAGTCGAGTGGAGAGGAAAGTTTTCCTCGTTTCGTGAAGGGGCGCTGGAAACCTCTTGTTCTTGTCGTGCCTCTTAGGCTAGGACTCAGCGAAATCAACCCAGTCTATGTCCAAGGATTGAAGGTGAGGTAGCCTGTATAAGATATAACCTCACTCATTTCTTCCCAAAAGCAGAAAATGAGATAAATAACAAGTTAGGGACTGAGTGCATAGCTTACTACTCGTAGATACTCTTTTTATTGCGTCTTGATTTTCAGTCTTTGAATTACATTTCTTTGTTCCAAAATGGTAATGAATTGTGTATGGAAGATGAGTGCTACCGACAGAGTTGCCGCTTATTTGTTAGCCGTTATCGTCAGCTGAACAGTTAATTGTGTGAAGCAGAAGGAGTGCACAGTTGCCGTCTGTGATGAGAGCGGTTGCCGTGAGAAGAGAACAGTCGTACCCGATGTAAAGTCCGGCGTCTGTAATCAAGACTGTGACTTCTAGGATTGTAATCAAGGAAATTATTGATTTAACGTTGAATAGAATAAACCTGTTTTTAATTTTGAAGAACCCGCAGTTTAATTACTCATTACAGCGTGGTTTTCATTCTCGCTATGCAATACAGAGTTGACGTCACATCCACGATACAACGAGTGAACGAAGACGACTGATATTGCACAGTAATAAAGTTTTAAAATTGTTTGATTTGAAATTTCTGATTTTACAGACTTGCTTCACGTTCAAACAGTCACTGGGAGTGATAGGTGGTAAACCTAACCACGCGTTATACTTCATTGGTTGCGTAGGTAAGTGAAGAATTAATACGCAAAGTTTTGCGTGGAAAATAAATTAAATGACATTTCAGAGTAGACTGAAATTTACGCATTGATGTCTTGTTTAGATACGACCGTACAAACATAAGTGTCTTTTCTCGTTTTATCATATCTGGGAGTTAAAAATCCTTTTATGGGAAGTCATCACTTCGTTTGCGCATGAGTTTATGCGGCTTTTTTCAGGAATGTATCTACCGCGTAAACGGAGAAATTGCTGTGTGATGTATTGGTTGATGTGTTGTACAGGGGATGAAGTAATCTATTTGGACCCTCATACGACGCAGCCTGCAGGCTTCGTGGAAGAGAAAGAACAGGAACACGAGGAAGTTTTTGATTCGTCTTATCACTGTCAGTACGCTAGCAGAATGCACATATTGCATATGGATCCATCAGTAGCAGCGGTAAGAAATGTTGACGTAGCGGTTCGGTTTAAGTCGGAATGTTAAGTGTACTTCCTAATGACAGTCACTGTGAAATCTTTATTTTAAGTAACTCTAAATCAGTGGCAGATAGATACCTCTCTAGTGATTTATTCCCGTCATGTTTAGCTACAAAAATGTTGTATGCATTTCTTGTTTTATCCGTGCATGCTTCTAGCTCCACCCTTGTTACACTTTCTGATTTGATTATCCTAACCGTAATTTCCAGTAGTCGGTAAATAGTATGGATTGTGAGCTGTTCATTGTGAAGCTGTTTTTTTATTTATTCTTGTGTTTTATTGTTAAACCATAAATTATCAGCATTTTAATATCAAATGCTGCCAACCACATCTTTAGGTTTTTTCTATTTAAGATCAGTTCCTTGCCTCAAAGGCTCTCTCCGCATTGTTTATGTCTCTGTACAAACTGATGGGTCACTGTAGCTTATCACTGCTGGGTGCAAACCTTCTTGGGGTGTGGGCCTGCTGGATGGGGCAGAGGTTCCTTTTTGAGCAGACCCCTGGCAGCAAGGCCTTCGTGGGTCAGAGTCTCCATCTGGGTTAGGATAGGTTAGGTATTGTTATGCTTTGTGGGGTTAGGTTGGGGTACGTCTGGTAAGGTCGATGGCCTCGTTAATATTGTTAACGTTTTTGACAAATCTATTTCTGTGTGCTAGGTGCATTTAGATGTTATCGTTTGCGCTAAAACATGCTTTTGCTACCAGTTTGTCATTTTTCTTGGTGTAAGGATATCAGACTTGTCAATTGTAATTGACATTTTTCCCTTTTTGAAAAGAAGGAATGACTTTAAAAAGCTTGAACAGTTCATTGTTTTACAATTTAAAAGGTTATTTACATCAGTCGATAATTTGTGGTTGTCATTTTGAAGATTGTGTGAAGTGTACCGCCCGTGCATTATTTCTTACTCTTGGAGACTGTTAAATCGACATGCGACAAAAACAGTCTTACCTTAAATATCGACCACGAACATCCGAAGCAATGGAATGAGCTGTAAGAAGTTTAAACATGCAGCGCTGCTCAAAACTCATTCCCACTCCAAGGGTGTTTTATCAGAGATATGAATTCATACTTGCCTTTCGATCAGACTTTATGAAAAGGGAAATTATCCGTAAAATGTGTGAGGTGTGTAGTTCGCGGCTGTAATGTTAGTCATATCACAGATTAATGGTGACGAAGTTTGTCCATCTGCTCAGTTTCATGAACTGTGAAGGCTTTGATTATATTCACAGTGTTTCTTTTGCAACACTGAAGATGAATTTGACTCGCTGTGCCAGCTCATCCAAAAGCGATTGGTGCATCCTGAAAAGCAGCCTTTATTCGAGCTCTGTAATGAGAGGCCCAGACATTGGTCACCCCTAGAAGATGGGGCAGAAGAAGCACTAGGCGCGACGGCTTTCTTGGGTAAGTTCGTAAGGCCACGAGTTTATACGCTGCTTAATTTGAGAGTGAAGGCCAGAATTGAATGTTCAAGAGCATCTGATTTGTGTTACGATTGATTAAGAATGCAGTGGAACCTCATTCATTTTATGTTTGGATCTTTAAAGATCTTGTATAAAATTCTGGTGCATTTTACTCCTTTATAGCCTCTGGATTGAAAATTCACGAATGCTCTTTAAAAGTAATTACGGTGGTTATGGGAATCTGACTTTTCTATTGAAACATGACCTTTGCCTTTTCTGAAAGGCACCAGTGACTTTAGAGATGTTTGGGGTCAGTGACCTTTTCGTCAGTGGGGTGTTTAGTCTGCCTGTTGACATCGGTAAACTTCTACCAGACTACACAGTGTAAAAACCCAGAAGACAGCCTTTTGCATATTGTACTTACATAGGTTATGATGTGCGGTTGTAATCAAAAACAGCGTGATGAGTCAGGACATTTTTACGTTTCCAGCAAATGAAGATTTTGAACGACAGTTTGACGATTCGGATGAAGAATTTGAACTGCTGGGTTGAATAAGGAGCAGCCATGCCTCAAATGACTGTTGTGACGAGGAAAGCAAGTTCGCCTTCATATTTTGACCTTGAAAATGATAAATGATGATGTTTGTTGTGCTCGACAGTACGCCACAGCCAGCAAGATCTTTATTGGTCTGCATATTTGATGCATGCAGAAGTATAGTCTGTTCAGATTCCTACTACATATGTATATGCATGTGTGTTTGTGTATATATATATGTACATATACATATAGTTTTCCAATACATTTGATGATGTAAGTAAATATACACTAATGATACTATGCATAAATTTCACACATAATTGAATAATTCAGGCATTGTAAAATTTGTGTAACATCTTTAGTTCAACAAAAATTTATTCAGCATTTTCTTATTGTAGTATTTCTTTCTTACTGCACTGTCAAGTTCTAATGTTTGAAAACTGCGCAAGTATCTGACCGTATGTTGTGGCTAAGTTTGTCACTGATATAAATTAAGTCCTGCAAGTGCTCTGATGGTAGGTTATGCTTTGAACTTTTCCATATGTTGATTTTTATGCACTTTTCCTATAGAATTAATGTTTTTTAACAGAGATGTATATTCTATTTTTAATTATGTTCAGTCAAGTCTTTTATTTAAATAAAATGTTCGTACCTAACTTTTTATTTGAAAGATGTATTTTATGTAAATTAATCTGAGTAAAGAGACTGCTGTGACAGATATCTCCAGGGTACCCTATGAAACCTCACGTGGTTTTACATTGCCTTATTTTGAGTGATAAATGTTACATCAACGTGGGTCAAATCTGAACCGTGGACAGTTGGAAGGAGTGCAAAATCTTTGGGCTGTGCAGATTAAATGAAATTGTTTTAAATACAAAATGAATCAGCTACACAGGAATGGTATTCTACTGATGTTTAATGTATATTTTGATACAGTGTTTCTACTTAAGCATCTTACTGTTTGAAATAACTTACTGCATTGGCTGTGCACAAGCAAGCTCATTTTAAAACAGCACGTGCCGCTTTCTGTATGAAAACAGCATCTTCCATGATGTGTCACAAGATTTTATCTCATGTCTGTAATTTATACTCTATTTCAGTAAATAGAAATCAAGGGGTGTCAAGATTGATGAATTGGGTGGCCAGGCATGTGGATCTCCATGACCAATCCAGTGATTTCCATAGCCCTGATTCGAGTGCTGTGCGACTTGTAGTCTGAAATGAAGTGGAGCAGCCTCATGTTTAATCTGGCTCATCCTGTAGGAAATGCGGGTAGGTAGTAGCGTGCTGTTGAATGTCTCTCAGGAAAAAACTGCGCATTTAGTTAGTCGTCAGTAAGACCGTACCGCGTTTGCTGAAGAGTGATGTTGGAAGTTGCTTGCACTGAGCCTCTGCATCCAGACCGGCTCTGGGGCCCACCCAGCCTCCTATCCAATTGGTACTGGGGCCCAATTTTGTTTTATGGATGCTCTTAATTCAGAAAGCGTATTGATTTAATTTTGAACGTGTTTTTCCATGAGTAAACGGCAGAAAAGAAACTGTGGTTACTTTCTACAGGACTCGGCAGAGACATGTGACAGTCTATATTAATAAGACTCTGAATATATTAAAATAACATAACATTCACATACAATTTATTACCACACAAAAACAAGTTTATACACACACAAGTCTTTAAAACATTCCCAAATCAAATCACAGGAGACTTTTAACACTGCTTACACACATTTGTCTCCAATTAAGAGGGAAAGTCAAGATAATATGCAGTAAAATACTGAATCAATGAGCAAATCTTTGGTACGAGTAAAGCGATATTAGACAATGTTGACATTTTTGGCACAACCATCCACAACTAAATTGGTGCAGTGAAATTGCTAGTTTTAATCACCCAGAGTTGATCCATTAACATCAGTCTTGCAGTGAAATATCACTTGATTATGTGGTTAAAATCCACAAATAAGAAACCTGTCCTAGTTAGTTATGTTGAGAATTAGCTGGAAAGGTTGGCATAACAAGTACATACTTTTTACGAGGGCACAAAAACAAGATTAACACTACCCCAAACAAATCAAAAGTTTCTTCACGGCATAAATACGAGGGCGGGTTTCATCTAAATCAAACAATTTATAAAATATGGAAGTGTTTAGGGCAAACGAAGACAAATACTGAATTTCAGTGAGTCGAACATGAGATTTCTTAAATGCAGTTATAGATGAGATGCAATTACAAACTTATATTTCGTTAGCAAAACATTTTCAGTAATTTCACGTGGTGATAAAGACTATATCACAGGTTGTAATAAGATTTTACATTTAAAGACTGAAAATACATTTTTTTAAAGTCACATTAATCGATTACAACAGTGTAAATTGGCTTCTGTCACAAAATAAATACTTTTAGACACCCCATTTCTAGAGTCTGTAATTATATTTATGTATGTACATTTAATCGGAGAATATTCTCATAACTTTGTGCTTGAGGTGTAGGACTTATGAAAGCATTCTCAATTTATATAAAAAAATTGTGGCAGGCTATTCTGAGCAAACAAGAAACACCACACATATCTATACAGGTCCTGTAACATTAATTAATATTCAATTCAGTTGGTTAAATCAAGCATTTAAATCAGATCTTTTTTAAATCACAAAAAATTAATTTTATGATTTTTAGGAAATTGTATACCAGGTACATAATCTGATATGAATGTGCCAAGCATTGTGACAGCTTACAGCACGTTAAAGGTACGAGTATAATCATGACGCCATGAAGGCATACATGATTATCAGGGTAAAGCTGTATGGTTCTGCACCTAGAACTGTCTTGGACATAGCGGCGATGAGAGAAATTTCACATTCCTATTCCTACTGTACTGAGTTACGATTCTGGTTCACTTTACGAAAGGTGAATTTGCTTACAAAAGACTGAAAATGTAATATCTGTATCTCGTAAAATAGCATGTCCTAGGTTTATAATAATACTGACCAATTAATTCAGTCTCTGTGTGTGATACCTGGAAGTGAATATCTCTTTAAAAAGTATTGGATGAAGAGCTTTATAACAGAATTTAACATTCACAGTTTCATTTTACCCTTTTCACTGTCAGTGAACATATTAGTCGGCTGTTTGTTATTCCATATTCAACCTGATTGTCAGAATGCATAAATTGACGCAACATTTCATCCCTACACATGAGAACAGAAAATGATTTTTGAACATAATACTTTGAAAATTATTAATTTGTTCATTTTAGCTACTTTAATTCTTTCCATAGTTTAATTTAGCAAAAAAATTCTTCTTCTACTAAATGTGCACGGTATCCAATGACAAAATAATGTGATGTACAATTAAGCATTGAAGTATCTCACATTTCTGAGCAAAATATCTCATTCATTAATGAATGCGAAAGACCAGGCTGAAATTGTTTGTTGGACAACAGATACTTATAAATATGTTTTGTGAAAATCTTGATAAATTAATCTTAAAATCTTTGAACTGGTTTTAAGGAAACTGAAAAAAATATGTTTATAGGTTAAGAAATCGTGCTATCTTTAAGGCTTTGACCGGGATGTTCTTTTGTTAAATCTTATGTGGTACCGCCTGATTCGACTTCTAATGGTTAAGTGAAGTGTTTTCTTCGCGGTACGGTCTGAATTCGTAAATATTATGAAGACGAGCTTCGGCTTCAAAGGGTTAGTGTATGGAAAAAAATAGGAACTATGGTAAATCATGAAAACTTCTGTGTTGGCATATTGTCCAAGGACAGATTTTAAGAGATGCTCCCAACAGCTAAAGTAACCACGACATGACAAGCGTTGAACAGCTGTGTTAAGAAGGCTTATAAAAATTAGCATCGGGGGAAACTCTGGAGAGAAGGATCATCGTGAAGCAAAAAACATTTACGTTTTAAAAACTGAATTCCAAGAATTAAGAATTACTGCATTTAAATTATAATTGCAGCTGTACAATCTTTTATGTGTGACCCATTGCAAAATCTCATCATACTAATCACGACAGAAGCAAACATAATTTTATAAAGTAAAAGAAAATATAAAAATTTAACACAGATAAAGAGCACAGAACATTTTTCACAAATGTTTGTCCATATAAGAAGGAAAGACATTTAACAGAAAATATTTTCTTTACTGGACTTCGGAAACACCGGGATTTTACTTCTCCCCTCATTTCGATACGGCAGATTAAAAACAAGGATTAAAAGTTCTTTCCCAAGATTTATCTATCCGAACGCAGTATTACTGCTGTAGGAATTATACCTCCTACATGGACTTAACACTGAAATGTGACCACTAAATTTTATTGGTTCACCGAAGTTATAAAATAAACTTACTTTCAAACTTTTATCATTCTTTTAAAGGTTACATTTTATTTTTGTTGTGCCATATAAATAAGAATATCACAAAAAATTCACCTAACTGATGAAGAAAGACCTGATTTAAATTGAAAGTGATTTAAAATTTATTTTTTAAGCATACAACGTATTTCTTCACCTAGTTTTCTTAAGAGTTCCGTAACTCAATTTTTTATCCGCGAAGTTTATCACTACTACAGTAATATTGTCTAAGGAGCCTCTGTAATAGGACTGCAAGGTTATACTCTTTGCTCCATAATGAGGTTCATTTAATCTCTCCTTAATGAACGCCACAGCCTCCTCATTTGAGAAAGTATCCCAGAGGCCATCCGAAGCCAAAATGAGAAACATTGGCTTATGGTCTGCTAGGTCGAAGGTTAGGATATCAGGATCGGCAATCACGAGCTTCTTATCTTTAAGCGGGTAATCTCCAAGAGCCCGTGAAGTTGCCAGGATTCCAGCCACACGCCACACCCCATTGAACGTGATGAAACCGCCGGCTTCTTTAATGCGTTTCCTCTCCCGCATCTAAAGCAGCAAGAAATCTTATAAACAGGCAAGCACTGGACGGCAATCATTTATCCATCGACTACTATGTACATGTATGTAAACAACTAAGAAAAATAATGTTTACATGTTAATGATTCACAGCTTTCTAATCAGGCAAGGATAAGTAATGATTTTAAATTTATGTGCTGCTCTTTTGTGTTTTTTAAGTATTACTTTAGGTTATCCCATCATAAATACCTGTTGCGGTTTGTGATCAAAGGAGAGAGGAATAGCGTTACCCTTGCTATCACACATTACACCTCGTGAATCACCGACATTAGCAACGACCAACCGCGATCCTTCAAGAAGAGCAATCAGTGCGGTGGTACCTGTAATGTGAAGGATCTATTGAATACCTTCATTTCATATGACACCTGCAAGTTCTATAAGTGTGATAAAAATCTGTAGCACAACTTCCTTCAGAGGTAAAGTAAAGCCGGCAACCCCATGTCATAGATTTACGGCATGTAAAAGAACCTTACAAGCATGATATGAGATGTTTCGTAAGCAAAATTCAGCAGCCATTTCTCACCGAAGTCTCCTGATTAGCTGCTAGATGGCTCTGGCAGTCAAATCAGGATTGAGTAGATATTGTACAGTCAGTGGGCTAGTCACTCACTACTCATAAATGCACACTTCAAAACCAAGAAACCTCTGAAAAGGAGGCGTTGAAAACCTAACAACCAGGGTGTAGAGCCAAGAAACAACAACCTGTAAGTTTTAATATGTGAAATATCAAAACAAATACCTGCAACATCCATGCTTTTCTTAGCTGCCTGTACCAAAAGATGGTCAGCTGCAAGGACTTCATCTGTGAGAAGTTGTCTGTAATTTATATTTCCATTGGCTTCTAGGTAACTAGCAGTGGGAACAGCAGGTCGTGGCACGCCGTCTTGTCTCGAAGGGCGAACCTCTCTTGTGATAGGTCGAGTTAGTGTATCCAATCGACTCAGTAGTTCAGGATCTGTTATGCTTCCGCCTTTCCTCATACATTCGTCTGTTTGTGATGTGCTCATTGTTTTCCTGAAACTGTTTTTCTTTTCAACAGGAGGCGCACCAGGTTTTTTCTCTCCATCTTTTTTCGCGCTGTCCCCAGAAGTGGGCAGATGGTCTGGTTTTCGTTTGTTTCCAGCAGCAATAAGATTCTTCAATTCAACAACCTTGTTATTAAGATTTTTTATAAGGTTATCGCGGGCATAGTTTGCTGCAAACTGGAAAAGAAACACATTATCTTGAAACTGGTGTAAAATTAATTCAACAGAAAGATCTGATTACTCATGCTTTTCCTAAGAGGCAAGCAAGCTGCATGATCAGGGGTAATTATTGCAGAACAATGGGAACTATGGTCACTGCTGAAACACTTGTATAACAATTACCTCGGTTCACAACATTGCAAAAATGATCCAACAGATGTTGGTATGCTTTCACAACAATGACTTCAGATGACATTCACAGAATGACCTACAAGACGTGCTAAAAAACATCTCTGGAATGTCAGTGTCCTTGCAAAAGCATACCTACCTAATCTTGTTTATAGAAATGCTACACATCATAGTCACTTCTCAGAAACATTTTGGGGAGGAGTCAAATACCTGCCACACGTTGTTAGTAACACAAATACCTGTCACACGTTGTTAGTAACACTTCTTAAATTTAAAAATATGACGTATAGAACCTTTTAAATGTGTATATGTGTACTTAATGTGTTTTACCTCTCCGCCATGACCATCAAACACAGCAAACAATGATACACCAGTTTTATTGATATCTTCATTTACAACAAAGCGATCTTCCATGCGAGGTCGTCGTCCTTGAACGGCATACGCAGCAACAATTCCTTCCTTCAGTTCCCAACTGAGTTTCTCCCCAATTGTTACTGACCCATTCACAAAATACTGTAGACGTTGAACCTTAGAAGTGGAACGACCAATTGTATATGTTAATCTGCCCAGCAAAGTATGACTCCAAGCATCAACTGCTTGAAGATAAACTAAAATAATAAACAGCATGGCGCTTATTATAAGCACTTCTGGCTTTAGTATATAAATTCTTAAAAGCCGCCACAAGTAAGTAACTGGGGCAGAATTGAGTGGCACACCCACTGCAAATCTTGAAATTAATTTCATGTGGGATATATACGTCTGATATAGCACTCGGTCTTCCAACTCGTCCTCCATCTTCGATTCCGTATAACGGTACACTGCCGCCAAATCACAAATGTAAAAGATTTGGACGTGTTCGGAATCACAATAATCGGAACACGCTGACAATGTTCTCATGGTTCCAGAAAGACATGAGTAATTATTATATTTCTTACGAGTAATTGTTATATTAGTAATTATTATAGTCCTTATAATTTCTTTATCTGTAAACTGCAAGGTTTTCTCATGTTTAAGAAATGTAAAATTGCTATTGCCGCCGCTGCTGTGGGAAGGTTTCGGATGTTGGTATAATTTGCGGTTTTGAACATGGCTGGTGAATGACATTAAGTAATTTCCAAATGTGTGTTTTATCGTAACAGTTAATTATAATTTACATTTTAGAAATGACATCTACTAAAATGAGCGAAAGGAAATTTACAAGAGCACTAGGCAAACCTGGAATGGCCGCTCAATTACGTGAGACAGTATCACAAGTAGTTCGAGAAAGCACGGTTCAGGTATAACGTCTCTGCTATGTGAATAGTGTTTTGTTTATTTGTTGTAGCGGGTTTATATTTAGTTTCTGGGTGTGAAATGTCAGATTTAAGATCAAAGCGAGCTTGAAAGAAATTTTCTATTTCGATGTTTTTATTGCTATCGCAATTAATAACTCGTTACTTAAATTGGTTTCCTGTTTCTGTGAATACAGGAAATATTGCTGACTTAATATTTGGAGCTAGTTTGTGTATTCTCATGTGATTAACAAAGTAACGTGAAGACAGTTTGCAAAAATATTTCACACCTGCAGCAATGACAATGTGAAACAGCCTGAAATTCTGTGAATTCAGGGTTCCCGACCAATACCCATCCATGCGCGCTACATGCCCCGCCCATCTCATTCATCTCGACTTAATCACCCTGACAATATTGGGGGAGTACAAATTTTTAAGCTCATCATTTTGCAACTTTCTGCATGTCCCATCATATTTGCTAGGCCCAACTATCCTTCTCAGCACCCTATTCTCAAACACCTGCAATTTATGTTTCTTCCTGAGAGTGAGAGACGATGTTTCGAAAATATTAATTAACAGATTTTAAAATTGCATTTCCAAATATTGATGGTGTAGTAGAGTTTCATTTTATAATGCCATGGAACAAGGTATCTGTCTACTTATAAAGGGTTGAAATTAATCTATGCATCTTTTTACAGAACAAGCCACAATTAGTTGAACCAATCGATTTTGAAACTTTTATCTTAAAGAATAAGACTTTATTGCAAAATGATCCTCAGCGAGAACTGTTGCTGTATCCATCGGATGATGTGTCGGTAAGCATAATTAATTCTCTAATCTGGAAAGTCTGGGAGAAAGGTTGGACTTGTACCATGGAGGTTAGAAATGCATGCATTATTTTGGTTTGAAAACCTGAAATGAAGACATTGCTTGGAAGACCTAGGTATAGTGAATAATGTTGAAATGGTACTTCATGAAATGGTGTTGGAAAATGTGAACTGAATTCATCTGACTTGGGATAGAAATCAATTCCAGCTCACGTGAGCATGGTAATTAACTGTAAGGTGAAAGGTGGAGAAAGTGACTAGTTGAATGAATATTGGCGTCCGAAGATGGGCTTTGCTTCATGGAGTTACTTAGATAGCTGAAAGGTGATTGTCAACATAAAAACAAACATTAATTGTAGTTGTCCGTAATCATGGTACATGAGTGTTTAAAACATCGGTGGATGTGCTAAAATATAAATAGTTTTTCTTTAGCAATGTCTGCCTCTTTAATTGGTTTATTATATGTGCATATGTATCTCTATCTCATAATGGAAGCAGTATGCTGGCGATGTATCTCCATTTTGAAATATTTCCTGATACTAGCTGGTTAAGATTTTTTGAGCTCATGTCAGTGGGCTGATCACTCACTACTCATAAATGCACACTTCAAGACCAAGAAACCTCCGAAAAGGAGGCGGCGAAAACCCACAACCAGGTTGTAGAGCCGAGAAACAACAACAACTGTGAATCATGTATTTATTGTTGTTATCAGTAATGAAACTGATTTGTTCGCAACCTGTAATATTCTGTGTAACAATAATAACAGTATAGTACTGAGTAAGTTGCAGTCTGCTGATAAACATTATTGAATATGTAGATTGTGGTCTTTCGAATTACGATGTTATGTAGTCTTGTATGTGTTTACCAATGTTTGGAAGGACCATATTGCCTCCATCAGAGATGGATGTTTCAGAGGATACCAGTATGTTCCTCTTAAATACTGATCTTGCCTTGAAGACCACTTTGCATCATTACTCAAAAGGCGACATTCCAAATTGTCAATTTTGTGAAGACCTCATATCTCTTGTCGTTGGATCTTGCTATTTTTTTTTTCCTCATATCTCTTGTCGTTGGATCTTGCTGTTTTCTTTTTCAGCAAGTCGTTTTACCGAGGAGATTTCGCACTACTGTGCACAGTGTGCCTCCGACATTGGATACGGCCGAGTGCGGCCGTTTCACGAAGGAATGTCTCAAAAGCTACACATCCAACTGGAATCTTATTCATTATAAGTACAGTGCCTATTCAGGGACCTACTTAGAATTGCCAAAGTAAGATATGTAATTCTTATCCTTAGCTTGGGTTTGGAATGTAAAGGATGTGATTGGATGAGATGTTCAGGATGACGTGCAGCCTGCCGCTGCATTTGGTATGAATTGTAGGCTTTAACGTACTGTGACGTATGCTACTGTTCATTATTCTTGTATTCTGCTTTGAAATTCCAAGACTGTTTTACCATTAATCTGCGTTCCGAAGGCAGGTCTTGCGAATGTTGAACTTGGAGAACGTTTGCATTCAGAATGTATATTTTGAGCTTTTCTTCCAGATCTGTACTATTGGACTCAGGCCTCATCAAAATCACAAGAAAGGAAATTTGTATGATTCAGTGGTACAGCACTTATCGCATGCACTTGGGAGATTTTTTGTACTTACCTTGGGGAGGAGACCATTGTGACTTATTTATCTTAGTCTTCTGGACGAATGTTGGGAAAGTACCTAAAAGAAGCTGTTGTTTCTTCCCATCGAACTTTCCGTTACGCATCCGTAATTGTCCCGTCATTCCTATTCTGCGGTCAATATAAATGAATAGAAAATCAAACGATATTTGAGTCCTTCCATTTCCAAATTTTGATGTTTGCATTACTTTCTCTTTCCAAAATACAAGAAAAAATATGTCATACAAGATTAATAATATTCTTGCTGTAGCAGATTTTATATGCCCAGCTGCTAGTGTTGCTTCTTTGTGAAAAGAATTTGTTTGGCTGCGTTGGTTGTTTTTAATGTAGGTATTCTATATTATTGTCTTAGAACGAACTGGTTTTTAGTTTTATAAAGAAATATCCTGTTTGATGATTAGTTACTATGGATGAATCATGCACATCCAGAATTTATAGTCCTTAACGGCTCTTCTGTACTCGACGTCAGTCAAAAAACTAAGACACAAAGTGATGGTCCATCACTAACAGAAACTCAGTAAGGTTGGCTTGGGGAAGAAAATGTTGTGAATTTTAAGAAGGAAGTTTAACATTAATCTACAGTTTTTTTGCAGTTTGAGATAGAGTTCTTAAATATAAACACATTAATCTACAGTTTTTTTGCAGTTTTAGATAGAGTTTTTAAATATAAATGTTATGATTTTACTAGTCGGAAGACTCTTTTTTCTTTCAGAATATTAAAGTCTGATGAATTGAAGGATGAAGTGTATGAAGTTGACACAGACGCAGACCAAGTTGATGAGGTAAGAAACCAAATATACAAATGATTTAAAACAAAGTTTAACTCTCCTATTGTGCACGTTCCTTCTTCTAGAAATTTTGTACTGTTAATATTATTTTTAGGTATTTTGAGTTTATATATAAGGTTTGGAAAGGTGTACTCTTTGGAGTGCACTGAAAATCCAGTGGTGTTCAACACGCCGTGTCACATGTGCACAGCGCTTTATTTGGAACCACAGCTCGGAGGAAGTGTGAACACTTCACACTTACGCAAAAGCAACAACAAATGCAACAGTGGTATCAAATGAAAGGTGTCCTCAGTCCCAAATGTTGCAAAAGTGTGTTTGAAATCCTTAATTCAAAGTATATCTTTCTTTTAGGATATTATTTCCAAGAACGATGGCATCACTAAACAAGGGTACCTTATGAAAGGACCTGAAGTCGGCTCTGACAGAATGTTCGTGAATATTGGCTCCAAATCCTTCAAACGACGTTACTGTTATTTAAGGTATAGTGAGGCGGTGTTAGAATTCTTTATACTCGAGGGTCTGGATCATTTCTGTAGTGCCTGTGTAAAATAGCGTTACTGTTCTGTGTGTTTCAGGCAAGAGGTGGATGGAACGTACATCCTGGAGTTACACAAGGATGAAAAGAAGGGAGAAGCAAAGGCAACAATTGTTATGGATTTCTGTACAGAAGTAGTGCGTGTGAGTCCTTATTTATGCTTCTCGCTCCCGTATTTAGGTTCGGTCATTTACCAGAATTTCTTCCAAACAAACTACGATATCCGACACCGATCAGATGGTAACGTGCTACGAGAAGACAGAGAATTCTCTTTCAGATTGCACTGTGAAATGCAGTTTTATACTCTGTTGCTAACTGGTGCTTGTAGCTACCTTTTGTCGATCCCTGAATGTGCATAAATAGATTCATTCTATATGCACAATTTTGGTGTATCAGTTGAGTCATAGGCCCAAGAGTGAGATTAAGGTTATTGACTGAAATTGTTTAAGCAGCTGTTAGGTTCAGTGGTTTGCATTGTAGATTATATGCCAGCAGTTAGGGGTTGTTTAATAAAAGTAATGGCATTGTAGATTATATGCCAGCAGTTAGAGGTTGTTTAATCAAAGTAATTTAAAATGATTTATTAAAACGTAATTTGTTTCATTATAAAATTTGAGGGCATTTATTTTAATCACCACAAGCAGTTAATAGCGAACTGTTAATGCAACTATATCAGTGCCAGAAAATTTAAAACTGTATCTGAAAACATTAGCATTAGGGCAAGTTGTACTACAGTGCACTTAATCCAGGGGAAAATAAGAAACTTAAAGAAAAGCATGTCCCAGTTGTACTTTGTCCATCACAAATCCCACACAGACCGCCCTGGACTCAAATCCAGGCCTCCATAGTCAGAAGCTGGTGACTGACTGAGCTATGACACTGCCCCTGAATGGTGTCCATATCAGATCATTCGTGACTGAAGGTTGGACAGGGATGCTCGTTTTTCCATACCGCCGCTGTCGCTTTATGTGAAAGTGGCCTTACAAGACAGTATATGGATGCATTTCCAGTGGCATGGTGGCTTCTCACCCACCCTATATCATTGTGGTCACATTTTTACATTTAATATTAGTAAAGTTTTAATGGATAGAAAATTTCCATAGTTTGTAAATAGCATTTACGGTTTTCACTGATACGTGTGATTTTTTATACTTTTCTAGAATGCAAAAAGAGGACGATTCTGCTTTGAGCTGCGGATGACGGCAGGACACAAGTCATACAGTTTGGCCGCGGAGAATGAATCAGAATTGCAAGACTGGTTAAGTAAATTGAATTCTGTTCTTCAACAAAATAAAATACAAGAAGAGAAGAGAGCTGCTTCGTTGGAAAGAGGTAGTTACATTTATAACGTAAGAAAATGGTGCGTGATGGCTATTGATACATTCGTTGTGTTCATTTTTTGCCTGTGTAACGGTGATGCATTGAATATAAAGTCTCCTGGTGTCCTCGGTAAACGGACGTGTAATATTATCACTAACACGCTGTAGCAGGGTGAAGATATAGGCGGTTTACCATTGAATTAAAAGTAGTGAGTAAGTTTGTATCATTAAGAAGTGCAAAGCGAACTGTTCTGCCATATCTCAGGATACTTACCGCTGTGTACGTAAGGGGACAGAGGAAAGCCATGAGAATCTGGGGACTGCCGGTTCCCTGGCCGGAAGTCAGTCTTTGTACCTCCTGTATATATCGGACACACCATCGCTTTTTCTGTCGATTATTGTCTCCTGGGTTGTGATGCCATATAGTCTTGAATGTTTTTTCAAATGTTTTGCGGGGGGTGTTTGTAACAACCTTCGAAACTGCATGGCGTCACAACATGGAAGACCAAGATCGACATCCTCTCTGCTGCGAGAATCTCGTGTCTCACCATCTCACCACTGTAGCTAATTTAAAAGGAGCAGTAGTGTAGACGATAGTGACGTAGGAGGAGTTTGCAGAACTTAATGGGTACGTTGATTTATTTTGAGTAAAAGAAGACAGTGTAAATGACACATGACTTTAAGATAATTTTACGATGAAAATATATTTTTGTGTTTCAGCTAGCAGTACTCCACCTCCTTCCCCCCAGCCATTTCAAATGTATGGCACTTTGAAAGGACTGGAGCAGAGTATGAATCCTCAGTTAATGAAGTACGCTCGCGAAACAGACGTTTCCATAGCTCTGGCAAGAAGAGAGAATCGCCGCAGACTGTTCAGCGTATATCCTCACATGCCTGTAGGTCTTTATTACTTGTTAGACTGAGAAAGAATTTAGCATAGCTTAAACATGATCTTATAAACTCTGGTTTGAATAACTTGGAGTAGACATTCATGTTCCTGAAAGAGGAAGAGGCTCTACTTACAGCGTTAATTTTATTTATCTATTTTTCCCTCCTTACAGCATGTGAAGAATGGCAATACAAACTCCACAGAACAATGTGTAGAACCGTATCGAGAACAGTTTGGACAGAGGCTTCAAGTTTGCTGTGAAAGTATAAGATTCCGCCTTCAGGCCCCTATAGATGGGGAGAAGGAGGCATTGTGCCAGGTTAGTTAAAACCAAGAGCAAACTACGTTGCACATGGACATCCGTTACTGGCGGGTCGTACGATTGTTTTGGAAGTCTTTCCATGCCTTGCTGAAGACATTTATCTCAGGTTTCAGTCTGGATGTTAGTTCAAATTATGCAGTTAAGCCCATAGTGAAATATATTTTCAATTACTAGTAGAATCGCTATCACTACATATCAATTAGAGTCTTTGCTCTTGAAAGGGCTGTTTCCAAAACCTGACAATTTATTTTGTAAAAGTAATATTGTCTGAACCATGTAGAAATTCCAAACTGATTGTGATATTGGCATGACATTCTTCATATTCTTAAACTTCTTATTTTTTACAACAATAAAAAAGCTTGTGTGCAGATAGATATATTAATATATTGTTTCAGGTTGAACCGTATTTTACAACTCTAGCATTATTTGATGCAAAACAGGGTAGGAAACTAACAGAAAATTTCCATTTTGATGTGAATCATCCTCAAGTTCGAAGTATGGTGCCTTCTATATCTAAAAATGGCTCAGTCGATGAACCTGAAAGTTTATTACCATCCGAGCTCCAGCAGGTACCGGAGGAGTGGCTCATGTATCCAAAACAGGTGAGAACTTCCACTGTGTAAATATTTGAAACGTCACAGAGGCCAGCTTCTTAAGAAAAGCTTTTCCCCGACACCCATGTTATATTGAGGTTCCGCTGTATTATCTCAGGTTAACTTGTGGCACTTAAAATGATTTTCGTTTTGGTTTCTGTCATTCCTAGCAATAATTTTAGCTTTTTGTTAGATGGAACCATTAATGAGCAGTCCTCTGACTTCTTCTACTATGGCTCTCCGGTCCGTATTCGGTCCATGGCCTCCTCAATTCTCCTCTTCCCTTCAGTCCTCTGTTACATCCATCTGTCCGAGGCTTTGATCGAGGTTTCGAAACATCTTCTTTTTTACGGTGCAAGGTTGTTGGCCTTGCGACCAACTCCCAACCTGGAGGGCCAGGGTACCTGTCTTAGTCTGACCTCTCACCCTCAACCAATCTGGCTAGGGAGGCCCTACCAGTAGCTCTTAGGGTCACTGAGGTACTCAAGCCCCACCACCACGACAAGGTGCAGGTACCATTAAGTGAGGAGAACTCTGACTAGTTGTGGGAAATTTATTTTATATTTCTTTATCTTTATTCATTTCACATTTACCTAGACAGTCCTTGCAAGTAGCTGAAATCACACGTGTGTCATGCGTATTATTTTACGTTTGTGGAGCATGGTGACTGTGACAATTATGATATTGAAACTAATGAGTCCAGAAGTGATGCTTTTACATTAGGTGAAAATTGCAGACCTAGATTCACGCAGATGTGCTGACATACAAGCTCTACAGTGAGTGGAAGTAAAACTTTCAGGTCCGCCACACAATACAAAACGTGAGCAGAGCCAAAGATCACTTCTGTATATGCAAAAATTGGTCATGTTTTATAAAGTGTTTTTAAGAATGACACTACTACGTTACTTTATGTTCAGAGGTTACTAAACTGAAGTAAAAAAGGTAATATAATTTTTCTGGAATTATGTTCAGAAAAAGATCATAAAGAAAGCAGTTGGATAATTTCAGATGTAAATTATTTTTCAGGCTGTGTTTAATATTAGCAACCCACACCCAGACATCTTTATAGTAGTTAAAATAGATAAGATCCTCCAAGGTGGCATTTGCCAAACAGCAGAACCATACATCCGCAACACGAAAGATCCTCGCCTTGGACTCAGAGTGCACAAAACTGTGAAAACATGTTGTCAAAGGTATGTTGGGGTGACGAACATTAATATAAATTTAAATACACATGTAAACACCCTCCATGTGTGCATGCGCACACACTGTTGAACTTCTGTGTAGAAATATTTAATGTGTCGTACTTTTTTGTCATGTAGTAAATATGTTAAAAATGACAGAATTTCTGTGTGACTAATTTCTGTTTCTAGGTTTAATTACTTGAATTCTGAAAGCTGTCTGAAATTCAGTTTTGTCATTACTTTGATGTAGATGCCCAACAGAACAAGTAATAATAGACAAATTGTCCGTTTCAATACATAATTGCTAGAAAGGTGGACATGTTTGTCCGATTCATAAACAGTTTATGAAGAAATCGGGGCTCAGTCTTTGCATCCGTTGGTGCTCGTTGCAGTTATGTGATTTCCTTCTGAGTGCAGGTTTATTGGTTCAAAGGGCAAAGTTCAGGTTGTCTGATGGATGAGCGAGACATCAGCTAAACTGATACTGTAATTGTCATTGATGTGAGCTGCGTGGGATAGGTTTTATCAAGTACCATACATTTGGTTGTCAAAAAACTGTTCCTCCGTTAACGCTCAGAAATGTCCAGTTATTATTTGAAACTGTAGACCGTGTTGTAGATGTCTGTATTGTGGTATAAATTCACATTTTGAATGTTGTTCATATCCTTTCCATACTTATTCTTATGTGTGTTTTTCAGACTGGGGAACTACAGAATGCCGTTCGCATGGACGGCTCGTCCACTGTTTAGACTGTACACTAATGAACTGGACACATCAGACTTCCCAGCAGTTTACCGCCAAGAGGGAAATAGACTGAAAGATGAAGAAATATTGAAGATTCTCTCAGAATTCCGAAAGTAAGTCGTACCAACAAAAGTCATCAAAGAAGCTAACATGTCTTTTCCATTACATTGATTATGACAGCATAATTTTGATTACAGGCATTCATAATGGGAAACCAGATTTTGATTTATTATTTATTGTAATGTGCAGAGATTTTGATGCTGATAAAGTTTTCTTGTCAACAGTAATTTTGTCTCATAAATGCTTGTCTTTTTTTTTTTTTCCAGACCAGATAAGATGAGCAGATTGACAGTGATTCCTGGTTGGGTGAAGATTAAAATTCAACCAATTACAGAACTTCCTGAAAGTATGTTAGAAAATACATGTAACGTGTCTGTGTCATGAATTTTATGTGTGTTGAATACAGGTTAGTCAGCATCCATAATTATGTTTGTTGTAGATTCGTTAACTACATCATTATCTCCACTGAAACCATTTCCATTACCTCCAACAAATGAGCCAACGATAGAAATGATGGAATTTGAAGGAACCTCAGAGAAAGATGTTCATCCCTACACAACATTTCTTAATCACCTTTATGTGTACCCACAGAGTCTCAGTTTCGATACTCAGAAGACGTTCACAAGAGCAAGAAATATCGCATGTGTTGTGGAACTGAGGGATTCAGATAGCGAGGGAGCTTGTCCTCTGTGCGTAAGTATTTACTTTTTTTATATATAAAATGACGTGAAACTGTGTGATTTGATGTGTGTTTTAGTACATCACTGTTCTGCGATGGATCTGATAATGATTTAAACACTTTCTAGTTTGTTGTTGAGATTTTTCACTCTCACAGTGGCAAGCAGGAAGATGGCTGCCTTCTGGGTTGTTGCACCAGCAAGCACCTCTGAAATGTTTGTAAACTTCTGCCAGACTACGCAGCGCAACAACCCAGAAGCCAGCCGTCTTCACAGTGTTTTGTTCTTTATACACGTCTTTGGCAGGGTTACCTTCAGTTTAGGATTAAAAGTGTATACAAAATAAATCTGGTAAGTATCTGTGTGTCAAGAGTTTATTTTTGCAATTTTACAATTTATTTTGGTAGAGGCGCACTTCGGAGTACACGGAGCGTTATTCTGTAACTTGCTCGCCGATTGAAATCCTTGCACAAAACATACCAAATAATATTTGTGACATTTAATTTGCGTTATTTATTATAGTGCCTGTGTGGTCGACCAGGCGGTCCAGTTTTTGTGCGCCAGGTGTCCTGCACTGTGCTGCATCACAGTACAAATCCAGCTTGGTATGAGGAGATAAAGCTGAGACTTCCTATTCATCTCCATAGCAAACATCACCTTCTCTTCACATTCTATCACATATCATGTGAACCTTCTAAGAAGAAGGAAAGTGGCATTGAGACTTGTGTTGGCTACGCTTGGTTGCCGTTACTTCAGAAAGGAAGGTACTGAACTTTATGCTTCACTAGCTTACGAGAGATCTATTCCGCTGTGAAGTTAAGTTGTGAATAAAACTTGTCGAGGGTGTTAGACGTTGATGTGGAGGAAAATATTATGTACCGAGTTCTGATTAATTGTAATTAAAAGATTGTTTAATTTGGTGGCATCAGTTTATATCAATGTATTGTGCGCTTGGTGTAGGATTGCCAGTGTAATGATTCTCAGAGTCTTCTTTTGTCTTGTTTGAGCTGTTATTTTGTAAATTAATATTAATTTATCTGCTACTTTCCAGGTTGAATGTTGAAGAGCAGGTTTTACCTGTAGCATCACATCTTCCGCCTGGCTATCTGTCGGTTCAATCTTTGGGTCTTGGAAAAGGGGTAATAGCAATTGATTTTTATAAAGAAGTTAACCGATTAACATGTCTGATCGTGCACGGTTCATAAAATCTTATATACATATATTGCTAAAGAACCTGTTTCATCTCTGATTAATCTAACTCTTTCATCATTGCTGTCATGTTCTTCTTCTGCGGGGTTTGATCGCTAATTTCATATTTATCTTGTCCTGTATCCATCCTTTACAGGTGTCCTATGCTAGCATCTTACAAAGTATATCGCGTTATTCTACGCTGAAAACTGGACGGAAGATCTGTGATGCATAAGGGGCCTAAAGGGCTTAATTATCAAGATATGAGATGTTTTAGAGCTTACATTTTGTCATAAAGAAAGAGTAAGCGTAAGCTAATTATCTTATCAGATGTACATCGGTCACATACATGTAAATTAATCGTTGAAAATTATCGTAACTGTTTTTAATGCGGGCTTCAGCGTGATGCGCTCTTATGACCAACGTGCACCGTGCAGTGCTTCTTGTGTGGTTCTCATCTGTGCTACTGTACAGTGAAAAATAATGTTTGAAGATGGCTGTCTTCTGGGTTGTTGTGCCATGTAGAATTTTAGTGACGTTTCAGAGTTTCTTGCTGCCTCCGTCATCAGCCATCTTCAAACTCGCTACTGTAAAAACCTCAAATACTACAAAATAAAGTTTTATGTTAATGTATATTATTTAAAGATTATACATTCTGTGCTTATCATTTCTTTCACGTATCAAAGATGTCTTATGTAATGTTCTCCGTTTCAGTATTCTGGTCCAGAGATTTTGTGGATAGATAGTCAGAGACAGATCTTTAGTGTGAACTTCCAATTGGTATCCACAGTTGTTACTAGAGACCAACATCTGCACAATCTATTTGCTTACACAGACAGAATGTTGGAACACAGAGTAACTCCCGCCCCACCTTCGGAGACAGAAATCTGCAAAATTCTCAAGGTAAGGGCACCGTTGAAGTACAGGATATATCGTAATAAAGACCTGTGTTTGCGCTTTTCTCTGATGGCCCACAAAGTTTCTGAATAATGAAATATTAAATACAATAAAAGTCTGTTGTAAGGAGTACAGCCTCTGATGGCAAGTCGTTTCTTATGAGAATTTTTTTAAGGCACAGTTAAGCAATGATCTTAAATATAAGAGCATCGTTTAATTTTTTTATATAATGAATGCCTTTGATTGGTTTCTGTAATCGTAAATACGTGTCTTCTAAACGTGGTAACATAGTTTTCTCATTATTTTATAAAAAAAATTCAGACCATTTTCTGTAATTGCAAAAATTATGTTTGTCAATGTGACATTTTGGACATTGATGCCAATTATTGCACAACAATTACGAATGCTGGGGGCTACTGTTTTAACAAGATATTGATAAACTGATCTTGTTCAACCGCATTAATCTTTGGTTAAAAACAGATGAAAGTTTAAAATGTATCATAATTCAGGAGGAGGGAATGGATTAATAGAATTGGGTGTGAAATATTGAGCATGCAATAATTTTTAAATAAATAAATTTTGAGTACTACGGAAGTATCTGTAACTGATTTACGGATAAAAGAAATTTGGAATTGGAAGATACTGAAATACATGCTCACAATCATGTGTTACACCACTTTTAAACATCTGTGATTACGACTTTCAGGCTGCACATGCAATCCAGTTGCCAGCTGCTGTTACTTTTCTGCCGAGCCTCTTAAATCACCTATTTAGTCTCTTGGTGGTGACCTCTAGTGAGGAAATTGGACTTAATGTCATCAGGGTTTTGATACACATCATCCATATGGTCCATGAGGCAGGGAGGAAGGAGATTCTTCAGGCATATGTCAAGGTAAGCGCACATACTTGAAACAGATTCGGTCATAGTTGGATGGACAGACGGATGGATGTGGGATGAATTATGCATGGCACGTAGAAGGAATATCATGAAAACATATGAATCTATGTAAGATTTGAGGTTTCGCAGCGGTGAGTATGAAGATTTCCGTCTTCTGGGTTGTTACGCCGTGTAGTCTGGTCGATGTTTACCAACGTTTCAGAGGTCAAACTGCCTCCGTCATCAGGGTGATGACGGAGGCAGTCTACCCATTTAAGCAGAATTAATATGTAGCTGAGCAAAACTGAAAAATAAAGTAAACCTCCATCTGGGCGTAACCTCAAATGCTAACACCACTTTATGCATCCAGGGATGGTGGAACTTATTAAAACAACACAACCAATATTCTTCAATTGAATGTAACGTCATACTTTTATCATAAGTTTATGGTGATATGGGTTTTGGTGGCATGTAGACTCGCACGTAGATGCCAGCATTTCAGACGGAGTGGTGATGCTCTGAAGTGGAGACATTTATATGGGATTGGAAGAACAGACGGCTGAGGAAGTGGGCCAATCAAATCAATTAGAGTAATTAGTTGTATATAGTGTCAAAATATACATGCCTTATGTTAGCTGTAGTAAATTTGATTCTTTCTAAATTACTGCTGCTATCAGAGATCTTAGTAAAAGGTTTTTCCGCCTCCAGTTTGTGTTTGTCCCACCGGGTGTGTCTAGTTCGACGACTGTGCATGAAGAAATGAGCCGACACTTGCCCACGTTGCTGCGTCCAGCCAACACAGATTTTCTAGTCATAAACAAGTTCACGCATCACTCCAACTTCTTCTTTGAGGTTATGGTGAAGAGTATGGCTCAGCATCTTCTAAGTAGTGGGCGTATCAAGGTTAGTATGTTATCGACGACATTCCGCGAATAAATTAGACAAAGGATTGTGAGGGATCGTTTTGTCCACAGATCTGGCTAATTCACTGGAGAATGTTATTAATTTTCATGCTGAGAAGATCTATCAGAGTGCACGAAACATTAATTTATTGTCAAAGTTGCAGTAAATTTTACACCGTGAAGAAACATTAATTTATTGTCAAAGTTGCAGGTAATTTCACACCGTGAAGTATTATACTCTGTACCTCCGTCTTTAAACACAATGCAAATTGTTTGTACACTAATTCTGCCCTGTGTTGGAGATGTGTAATATTTCTAAATAGCTTGTGAAGTTTTTACATTAATTAATAAATTTCAGATAGGTTTAGCAAAGAAATTTTATTTCTTTTGTTCAGTACATTTCAGAGTATGTATCGTGATATTTCTGTTTTATTCATCGCAGTGTTAAGAAATATGAGCTTTTTAGATTGTTTCTGAAACACAACTTTCTCTGTGTTTTATATTTTATTTGTTTTAAAGAGGCAAACTGTTCATAATAGATGGAATTTATTCTGTGTAATTTAAAGTGTTTTACCTAAATGTTGCTCTGCTGAGCTGTAAATAAAATATGGCACCAGATGAAAGAACACTTGAAATAGAAAGATGTGAAATAATATATTTTATTTGTTTCGTGTGAACTGTCAGTTCATGGCGATTGGTGAAGAGGGGAAGGTGCTGCTAACGCACAAGATGCGTTCCAAAACACATCAGCTCTTCCATTACCTCCTCATTTCTAGTCACATAAATTACCAAGATGTGACATTAAGAATAACAGTAGTAATGGTAAATGGCATACTCCAAGCAAGATCCAATAGCTATTCGTATTAAGGAGCGTTAAACAATTAGAACAGTCAATCGGCAACAGTTAATGTTTTTTTAATGGCTCCTACACCAGGCCACTCCAAGTCGTTAGCTGACTGTGCCAAATATAACGTATTACTTACAGATCAAAAGGAAATGATTCCAACAACTTCAATGCCAATGTTCATTCAGTTACATTCAATAGTTTAGGAGTGAAACGTGCAGACTCACAGACATGGCGTTGTTATGTTCGTATATACTACATATACTTAATACAAACAACTTTTAAGAAACTTGCAGGTTTACACGTGTGATGATATTTTTACTTTCAGTTAATGTAGGTACTGTTATCAGTCCTCAAAATACTGAATGTAAATATCACCTCTTCATTGATACTGTTATAATGCAGATGCACCGGAATGAGAGGTTCTCTGCTGACTTTTTGTACCGCATCCAGAATTTGGTGCAAGTTTTGTGTCCGTACTTGATCCAGAAGTACAAGGAGATGCCAGTTGAAACTCAGGAGCTTAATCGCAGCCTGGCTAACTTCCTAAAGGTATTTTTCATACTTATTTATTGAATGAATTTTATTAAAGTGACTGACACAAAGTAAGCTGGGTGGTGCAGATATATATAAACACATACACACGTGCATGCATGTGCATACGTATTATGCCTGAAGTAAATTAATACTTTATACACCAATGCTCTGAGGCTATTTGTCGCATTACAGCTGATGTACTGAAGTGTCCGAAACTTGGCCACTGCCATTTGTATCAGTGACTGCAAGACTTTATTACAGCAATTCCTTAGCAGCAACGCTATTCATTTGTTTCTCTTCTCTTCCAACCCATCCATCCTCCCTTTTATCCTGCGAGAACACTCCCAGTCGGCCCGTACGATTTAAGTGACTTTCTCCATGACACTGATGATATCTTAACGTGAGCTTCTGTTACCAGAGTTTTACATGTAACACACATAGATTTTGTGTCAAAATTTAAGAAAATAGGTGTGTATAGTATTTGGATGAATATGGTATGGAATTATAGTGTACAAATTATTTGAATATATGTTCTGTTCATTTAAGCTTATGTTAATATGCCGTTCAGTTGTGTTGGCTGTAGATGATTCTTTTTTTGATGATGTCTGTATTCTAATTCACAAATACAACAGTGTTCATAAAAACACTTCGCAAGTGCAATAATAAATATTGTTTTATTGATGTTACAGAAGTGCCTAACATTCATGGACAGAGGCTATGTTTTCAAACTTATAAATTCGTATATGGATAAGTTCAACCCTGGGGACCCAAAGACTCTCTATGACTACAAGTTTACGTTTCTCCAGATCATCTGCTCACATGAGCATTATGTTGTGTTTAATCTCCCAGTTCTTCACTCAGGGGTGGGCAATAAAGGCAGGAATGGTGAGTGTTTGAAATCCGCACACGTGTTTGTATTAAATAAATTCCAAACAATTATTTTATTGAATATTATAAAAATTCTTTATTTATTTTTGTATATATTTCAAGTTTCTCTAATTTTACAATAACACCTCATCAATGCAAACTTGGTTTGTGCGGTGCATGTACAAAGGATAGGTGATTCTGTGTTGGAAATTTATAACAAAATTGATTTAGTATGTGTTACAAGCTTTTAGCGTTTTCTCGAGTGTTAAAAATGCTGTGGTTATATAGTTATGCATATGCTTTTACTTTTCAGATTACATGAATGAATACTCCTTGTCGGAAGAGTTTTGTAAGCAGCATTTTCTTGTGGGTCTGCTGCTTCAAGAAGTCAGGACATCTCTCAATGAAGTATTCCAGATACGCAAAGTAGCTGTTTCAACTCTCAGGGATCTCTTAGCCAAACATGAGTTAGACGACAGATACCAGAACAAGGTAATTTTGAGTTTCTACCTTGAACACTCTCTCACTCAAAAATTCTTTTTTTATACCCCACAAAAAGTAGTTAAAGAATATAATCATAATTACGTTTAGAGTGTTACAATTAACTTTTACTTCTTCCCCAAATCTTGTCCATAATTAAATGTTCATTAAAGGTGCTGCTGGGATCTGTCGTTCTCATCTTTAAATTCAAAACCACTGATACCAATTTGTTCCTTGACACATTATTTCTCATATGATTCATGAGATGATCTCGGCCATTTAACAGCACTGTTCATAGTAATGCTATAATGTCTTCTTGTTGGTATGTAATGAAAATTGTTCAGTTTGACTAACATTTTGTTGCATTTGAATATAGTAAGTGTGCCGTCAGTTAACAATTTGAAAATGACTTGCCGTCTTTAGAACTCAAGTTATAATTTTAGTTATCAGGGTTACCCCAGACTTAAATATTGTTCTTACATTTTTCTTTCAACCAGTGATACTGCTGTTTTCGTGAACAGGCATTTGATGTTTGATTCCCAGGGCCAGTTGGGACGCATTGCAGCCGTCTACATCCCTTGGTTGGGAATTGTGTTGGACAATTTGAATCGGCTGAATGCCGTGCAAGACGCAAGTGGCAGCAGGCATGTGGACCCGCACCACACGTACAGCTCAAGCAGCAGGTTTTCAAACAGTAGCTCATTCCTCAACCTCAGGGACTCGGGGACGTCCGTGGGAACTCCTAAATCCCTCAATAGGTTCACAATGCATCTTGACAGTAACTCAAGCGCCAGAGTTTCCACACACTTCAGAGATTCATCTTATTTTGCGGCAATAGCTGGCCAAGGTGAGTCGGCTGTATGCAGCTCCGTTTGTTTAACTCGTACATCGACTGTAAAATATATCCCAGATATTTTTTTACCTCGCAAAGTTTGCTACTGTAGTCCAATTATCAGTTTTATGTAAGCTTTCATTCCCATTGATTGATTTAAAAATATCTTCCCACCTTACCTTTGCACTGAAATCTCCTCTAACTTTTTTTTTGTGATACTTATAGAATTTATCAAATACACAGTCTAGTTTTTCATAAAAACTTTTTTTCGTCTATTCACATTCATCCTCAGTTGATTCCTGCACATTCAGAACAATAATATCACTCCAGGACCTCTTGGTATCGTGTATGACGTACTGTCAACCAACAGACTCTATCCAACTGCCCATTGATATGATTCCCTTATGCATGATAAAGCCTTTCCATAATTGATGATCACCGTTACAATAGCCGAAGAAGAATATATAATTGCCTGCTTTTTTTTACGTTCTAAGGGCTTGTAAATGGAAGTTCTTCTGTGAGCCTGGAATCAGAGTCTTCCACTGTGTCAGGTGATGGCCACTCAACGGTGTCGCAAGAAACAGCCATAATTAGAGATCCCAAAGAAGAGGCAATAAAAGAAGGAAGCAGTAAAAGACATTCTAGGTTTGTAATTAAAATAAAATTGGACCTCTATCTTGATAATAGTTTAATGGATTGTCAGATTACGCTGTTATGGGGACTTTAATATATTTATTATTTTATTTATTTAGTGTTCTGTCTGACGACAGGTCCATATGAACAGGATCCTTCCATCCTTTTCTCGGACTGGGACCTGTTCATATACGTTCTTGGCAGATGATCCAGAAGCGGTTTGCCATTGCCTTCTTCTGTGTGTGAATGCAGTAATTG